TTTTTTTTTTTTTTTTTTTCTCTTTCTCATTTATCAAATTCTTACCCTTTAACATTTTCCTATGGGTGTAGAATTTTAGGATCCCATAGAACCAAGAGAGTAGGGTATCTTAGCATCAATAATCCAAGTATCACGGTCAGTTGAATTAGCAAGTTCGAAGAACTTTCCAGGGTAATATTTATTTGCTTCACCAGAGGTTATGCTCTGAACACCTGGCCATTTAACTCTCATAGATGTGTCAGCACAAGGACCCTTATTGTTATACTCGTAATATACACATGTCTCCTTGAATTGAGTTCCCATCCAAGCCATGTACCCTTCTGGCAGAAAGATGTTGTCAATTTGAGATTCCATGATCACCACCTTTGAATATGATTTCCATGGCCTTCCAAGATATGATATCCTGGGTTGCATGTTAACCAATTCGGGTTCCCCTGTGAAGTGGCATTTCTGGAACACTAGGGCACTAGGGCTATCAGATTTGGTTCTGCCACCAGCTGTCACCATGCACTTTTGGTTGGTTAAGGGCTTTCTCACCACTAGTTTGCAGTTTTGGAACATTCCAAATGCATCTCCGAAGACAAAGTCGATGGTGCCACTAACGGTGCAATCACGATAGAATTGGCGTTGGGATTGGACATAAAGGGTGTCTTGGTAACCGTCCATTTGGCAATTGTAGAACACTGCTTGATCTGCTGTTACTCGAAGTGCCACTGCTTGATGTTTCTCGGACCCTGCTGTGTTCTCAAATCCAATATCCTTGGCCATGAAGTTGGCACCATTCACAGCTGTCAATTAATTATTAACTTACAATAAGTTAATCAAATATTAGTCTCACACCCTCAGATGTGTAGAGAGGGGTGATCAAGTAAATCGTACATAGTATATTAATATCAGTATAATTATGGATGAAGAGCCATGGCATTCTTTTTAGGTTACATTTTATCTACGTGTGTTACTTGGATTAAAAAACTCAAGACGAGGCATAAATTGAAAATGAAAACAATAGATGAAGAGAAACATGAAAGGAATATTGAAATGTGAGTGTAAAAAAACATAACTTTATTTGAACATATTGTTGTAATAACAGATATTTAGGATGTCTTTTGGATTATAATATTATATGGTTTAATTCAATGAAAAATTAATTTTTTTAACTTTTACTAATACCATGGGTTAATATGTAAAAACAATGATAATTTTGCGAAACATCAATTACATAAAATAGCTTATAAACCCTAAAATAAAGATAATATAAATTATAATCCAAACATGCAAATTAAATTTCTTGTGTAAAGTGACAAAAGGACTAGCAGAATAATAATAGGTGAACTTTGAATTCAATTCTTTTAGTTGAATAATTTTCAACTACAAATACTTCGTCAGGATAAAAAAAGTCTTAAATTCTCTTTCCCACTTTCTTTACAAACAAACATATCCCTTAAGTAATGGTGTCTTTATTTTTCATGGTTTAGGGTTGATGCATGTTAACTTAAATTTAAAACTTTCAAGGTTATACTCTAATTGTTGGCACAGAGTAGAGGTCTTTTAATCAAAATTCATCTTTTAATCAAAATTCATCAAAAAATTACGAGCAAGGAAGGATGCATGTAATTTATAATGTTTGATTGTATTCCTCTTATTAAGAACACACCTTACTAAATACACAAAAGGGTTTCTGCAACACTTACCAAAGGTAGCAGTTTTGTAAGTTTGCACGCCATCGACAAAGTTCAAATTGCCAGTGAACTTGGTCTTTGTAGGACCATCTCCAACAACTGTGACATGGGTCATCTGCTTGGTCACATCCACATATTCCTTGTACACACCAGCTTTGACATGAATCACAAAAGTTTCAGCATTGTTAGGGGGAACAGTCTTAAGAGCCTCTTGGAGAGAATTAAACTGGCCAGACCCATCTTGTGACACAATTGCATCAATCTTGTTACCTCCAGACCCAGCCTGGAGAAGACGTCTTTGCCCTTCACACATCCACGAAGGTAAACCATCCTTAACTGCTGCATCATCAGAGAGAAGCCTCCTATTGCCAATAGTGCTCATGTTAAGATCCTTGAGTATGTTGGATATCACATTGATCATGTCCAAAGCATTGCTACTAAGCTCCAACGAGGTGTTCATAACCTTGAGCATTGTATCACCAGCTTTTGTGTTCGAGTTCGCGAAACCATCCAAGCATGTATGTTGGTGAGAGAGACTCCCCGCGAACCACACCTTTAGGTCATAAACATATTCACCCAACTTCTTCATATCAAACCTGTCCATTGTGTCAGCAGATTTGTGGATACCATCAACAGCATAGTCAAACACTTCCTTGCAAATATCCATGGCTTGTCTTGTCATGTTGTCTTTTGCCAACTCATGATAAAGGGTGGAGTTGTTAATGTGGTTTATGAGTTCCACCGCTGTGGCGTTGAACGCAGCTTTTATGAGTTCCATTGTGTCTGTGGTTCCGTTTGAGGTTTCCCCTGAGAGGCTTTTTTTGCAGGTTTCTCGGTATTCTGTTGAGCGGCAAAGTACGTCTACGTTGGTCCTTTGAGCACTCGTGATGCGACCTCCGTCATCACTTTCTCCGTCGCGGTTTAAGGTAACACCAACCGCAGCCACCATTGCCACAAGGAGGATTGAAGAGATGCCAAGAAGGGCAAACCTTCTTTGTTGTCCATCTTGGCCATTGTTACGTTCATCACCCATGTCCCTATACTCGCATGTGATTCTACACTTAGGGTTTCCTTTATTCCCCTAACAAGATGAAAAAGAATCAGAAATGCTAAATTTTTTTTGGTTTTTTTTGTTTTTTTTTATTACTTTTTTCCCCTCTAATTCCGAGGAGTGCTTTTGAAAGTTGTAAGGCACTTATTCTTTCCATTTAATTTGAGACCGAGATTTTATTTATACATGCATGCTCTAAATTCTCGGTGAAATCCCTTCATTTGTTAAAATGGAAGGTGGGAATCCCTTGTGAAACGGAGGTTACTTGTAATGTGTGTTCAATACATAAGGCATGTCACGTAATTCCTAAACTTGATGCAGAACATCAATTAAAATATACTACCGATTATTGTCTAATTTTGGGTTGTAGTTGCTGAGAAAATGCTTGTTAAAAAAGGTATATAGTTTAGACTTCAGAGGATCTCCTTGAATCAAGAACTTTAGTGCCAATATCAGATTTTGACGTGTATATATGCTTGCATGGTTTGAAGTTTGTTGTTATTTTGCCATAGTAATATCAACCCTGATTTTTTTAAAAAAATTCTAATTTTACACCTAATATTTCTTTTATTATCATCGTATCTATTATTTTCCTCCCCAGGAGTGGATAATATATTTCCCATGGAAGTATTATAAAAACTTTTATAGTTATTGTACTGGAGAGACCGTATCGGTCACGTGGGTCAACACGTGCCATTTCGTCAGACACTCATGCATAGTAAGCCACGTACAAGCATCACCATCAACGTCGGCTCGGCATGAGGTCGAGAACCGACATCAGTCTGGTTAATGCCAATATGGACCATCATCACTCATCGAGTCGGCTCGGTCAAGTACCGTTCCGACATAGATCATACCGGAAGTATACAAGCTGCCGTATACGGACTAGACGGTTCGGTCATTTGCCGTTCCGACTAGTATTGAATAGTCGGCTCGGCCTCTTGCCGAAGGGTTAAACAAGTCATAACGGTAATCACAATTAAGAAAGGTAAGTACATGATTAAAGCCTAACAACCAATTAGTACCGTATTACCTAATTTGGTAAATATCTGAGAGGGCCCATCACGCTCAGGCCCATGTCAGATGCTATAAATAGGTCACACATAACAAGGTATGTGACTGTTCATTAATTATCCTAGAATATCGTGCTTATCCTGACTTGAGCGTTGGAGTGCCTTTTGCAGGTACCTCCCCCCTCTGAAGAATCCGTTTGAAGTATCCGTTCGGCCCTTCTTACCAAGAAGACTACGAGTGTATCCTTAAGCAGGTACAGTTATTAATTAGCAATTAATTATATAATATTTCACGCAGAAAATGTCAACATATATACTTCATTCCCTTTCCATGTACATAAAATTAGTAGAACATGACAAAATGCTTATTTTATTTTATTTTATTTTTACTTCGTCTAGCTAACCCATCTGATGCCACACCACGCCCTATTCTTCCTTCCCTCCTAGTCTCAGTATTTTACTATTTTTCTATCTTTTTCTCAATGAACTCTGCTATAGAGCAGTAGAAATATAAATTTCCCACCGTTATTTTAGTGTCCAAACATTTTGGTGTCTCATCATTCCTAAGTTAATCAATCCATAATAAGGTTATGGGTGAAAAACATGCGATATCCCTTATACCCATTGGTATATAAATGACATTAATTATCACTTTATTTGGCCGATAAGAAATGAAATTGAAAGGAAAAAACCAGGAAGGAAAGAAATAAAAAAAGATACAATTAAAATGAATTTTAAGTAAATTTTTGTATTGTTTGGTTATATGAAAAGTGGAAGAATAAAAAAGAGAAATATTATAAAAAGACAATTTTATCTCAAATTATTAAATTCAATTTTAAATCAAATATATATATATATATATATATATATATATATATCTAT